GATAGAAAGCATCAGGATACTGCTATGCCCAGAAGTGTGGGAAATGACCTGCTGTGCTGCCACTGGTGGAAGGACCCTCTGACCCAGAGCAGAAGTCCCCTTGGCAGCTGGCTGTACGCGGTTCCTAGCTTTCTACTCCTCCTCCAGAGAGGCTGGGTGTGGGCAGGTGGGCATTGGAGCTCAAGGAGCCTCCAGGGTAGAGAGAGCATGTGGCTGTGTGTGGTTCCCAGGAGGCTTCCTGAAGGAGGTGGCCTCTGTGCCATTCTCCTGCTCACTCATGCAGTACTCTGCCCTACCCTGCCTTCCAGGGGGCTGTGGGAGCTCCTGCGTGCAGGTCCTGGGGCCCACATACGGCACAGCAGTAAATGGGCAGCCAAGCTGGAGAAGCTGCCAGGCTGTAAGCCATGCTAGCAGATGAAGCGTTTGGCGATTCCCAGCTTCCCCTGGAATCCAGCCTATGCTTTGTTGGGGCACCAGGAGCCCCAGCCTCTACACAGCTCCTGGTGGCCCTTCTTCCCCTTCTGTAGAGCACTTCCCAGCCGACACAGGCACAGGCAGGGGAGAATGCCCCTCAACTGCCCCTGGGAGAGGGCTGGAGGCAGGGGAGGGAGTGTCCCCAACCACCCTGCCAGAAGGAACACCAAAAACAGACCCATACAGAAGTCCTGGCAACGACAGTTTGCCAGCAGCCAGTGGGCTATGAATTCCCACATTCCTGGTAGCTAATGTAAGTCATGCCAAAGGCAACTCAATCCCCTTCAGACCACCGGGTACCCACCCCCCCGTGTTGCGTGGAATCTTTCTAAGGTGTCACTTGTACCCTCGCCATGTGTCCCCTCTCTAAATTGTCACCTGCACTTGTCCAGAGGCCTGCGTTTGGCTCCATTCTCTTGTACCCATTGCTGTCTGTTAAGATAGAAGAGCTAATTTATGAAAAGAGAAAAACAAATCTTTTGGGAGAACATACAGAATTTTCATCCATGGTTTCTTTCAGGCAGTTTTTAAAATCTGAGAACATGAAAGCAGTTTTTATTTATCTTTGTTTATTCAAACACTGAAAATGAAGTGACTTTAGCAAGGAGTTGTGGACCCTGTGTCTCAAGGGAGAACATTCAGTCTAGAGTCTGCCTGGTCCTACCAGTGTGCTGTCAACAGACACAGCTGTTCTGGGGGGTCACAGTGTGAAAGCCTGGCAGTCAGCTGCATCTCAGAGGCCCACCAGGTCCCCCAGATCACTGCAGAGGCTCACCAGGTCCCCAGATCACTGCAGAGGCCCACCAGATCCCCCAGATCACTGCAGAGGCCCACCAGGTCCCCCAGATCACTGCAGAGGCTCACCAGGTCCCCCAGATCGCTGCAGAGGCCCACCAGGTCCCCAGATCACTGCAGAGGCCCACCAGATCCCCAGATCACTGCAGAGGCTCACCAGGTCCCCCAGATCGCTGCAGAGGCCCACCAGGTCCCCCAGATCGCTGCAGAGGCCCACCAGGTCCCCCAGATCGCTGCAGAGGCCCACCAGGTCCCCCAGGTCGCTGCAGAGGCCCACCAGGTCCCCCAGATCGCTGCAGAGGCCCACCAGGTCCCCCAGATCGCTGCAGAGGCCCACCAGGTCCCCCAGATCGCTGCAGAGGCCCACCAGGTCCCCCAGATCGCTGCAGAGGCCCACCAGGTCCCCCAGATCGCTGCAGAGGCCCACCAGGTCCCCCAGATCGCTGCAGAGGCCCACCAGGTCCCCCAGATCGCTGCAGAGGCCCACCAGGTCCCCCAGATCGCTGCAGAGGCCCACCAGGTCCCCCAGATCGCTGCAGAGGCCCACCAGGTCCCCCAGATCACTGCAGAGGCCCACCAGGTCCCCCAGATCGCTGCAGAGGCCCACCAGGTCCCCCAGATCGCTGCAGAGGCTCACCAGACCCTAGGAAGGTTTACTCCCCCTGGTGTGAAGGCAGTGGGGGTGGCACCACAAATAGAGCACCGGGGACATGAGTGTCTCCTAGAACCTCCACTTCATGGGGAAGGCATACTTGGGCCAGAAAGGCCAGTATCCACAGGCAGTCAGGGAGTTTACCCGTGCTAAGATTTCTGCAGGAGCAGACAGGAAATGTGTCCCTGGAGGGAAGACCCGCTTCCTAGGACTGTAAGGGAGTGAGGTGGAGACTGGCCAGTTGCTAGAACATGCCTTCCCTTAGTGTTCCAGCACCAAAACATTCGGTGCATAAGGCTGCAGGGCTCGAAGCTTCCCATCCTAGCAGGAGACTTTATTCTCGGGGGACAGAAGGGTGTGGGTAAGGAGGGTGGGTTTGAGCTGCTCCAGACCATGGGCCTTGACAGCGGGGTTGGGGACAAAGTCTTAGTCTACCGCGTGGCTCCTCAGGGTGCAGAGCCCCACCTGCACCTGTTAAGGTGGGTGGGAACATGGCTGTGCCCCACCACCCACACCCCTGCCCCCTTTAGGCTGTGTGTCTGTGTCCAGTTTCTGGACCCCAGTGACCTAAGGAGTTCCAGCAGGTTTTAACAGCCCTGCTCTTATCCTGGAGAGCTCCCAAGGGAAGGGAACTGGGAGGGGCTTCTCCGGAAGTGCCTCCTGCTGCCCCTCCACCTGCAGCCCAGACCCTGGGGCTGCCAAGCTGGTCCTGCTGAGGCCTAAGACACAGGAACCCGAGGACCCAAACACAAATTCTTCTGGCATTTACTGGCCAGAGTTGGAATCTTTCTCCCAGCCTTGCTGGGACTCAATGTCCCCAGTGTGAAGCAAGCAAGGAACAGGTGTGGCCTGAGCCCCCATGGCCCTTCTTTGCTCAGGGCTCTGAAGGGACTTGGGGTCCAGAACTGCAGAGGCCACAGCCAGGTCCTGAGTATGAGGTACAGGAAGGGGTAGCAGAGGTGCACAGCAGCAGGCTACAAGAAGGGATGGACACAGGTGCCTGCAGCTGGGGGACACACAGACAGCAGAACCCGGGTCACCCCGAGGCTGCCTGGACCAAGGCCCCAGCACAGGTGAGAGTGAGCCAGCAGGCAGTGGGCACAGGAGGCTTGACTTCCGGGTCACTATAAAGTCTTGAGGGTCCCTAACTGAGGTTCCCAGCTCCTCTAGGCTGACTCTGGAGGGCCTCCCAGCTGTCCAAACCCCAGCCCTGTTCCCTCATTCCTGGGACTGGGTGCCTTCATCCCTACTTGCTGCTCTGGCAGTGGAGCCAGGCGGGGGAGGCCAGGAGTTAATTATGACCCAGGGAGACAGGCTGGGCTGTAATTGGGGACACCTAGCTTGTAAAAGTGGGTGCTGATGCCTGATTAACTTAATGACCTACGGGGGAGAGTCCCTTCCCCAGCCTGCCCAGGCTGCATTCCTCCCACCACCCCCACCTGGGCTCCTGTGCCATGGGGAGGGTCCCCACCTTCCTACTTCCCATCCCAGGAGAGCAGCTGGGCCCATGAGCATTTCTCAGACAGCTGTCCCCCACCCCTCCGGCCCACCCCAACTTGGAGGAAAATGCCCTGGCCCAGGCCTGGGCACACGGCCCCCATGAAAGAATAGTATCGGGCCGCTGCCCATCGTGCTGGGGCTGGGGGGACATTCCACAACTCCGAATGTGTCCTCTGCTGAACTTACAGCGCCTCTCATCTGCCGCCTGCTCCCTGTCCAAATGCCAGCCACCTGGCACCTTCTCCAGGAAGTGGCCCTGTGCTGAAAGCCCCTCTCACTAACGTTCCTCCAGCAGCATGGACCCCACAGCCGCCACCCTCACACACACACACACACACACACACACACACACACGCACACACGCACACACGCGCACGCACAAGGCCCCACCCCAACCCTGACCCGAGGCCTGCACACCCCCTCCCATGTCCCCTGCTGCCGCCTCTCTGCGTTCGGCACTGCCTATGCTCCAAGGCAGGCCATTCAGGGAGGGTTCCCCATGGCAGGCACCTGGGTACTGGGTGCCTTGGTATTAGCATGAGGGAGGACTGCGGAGCTGGACAAGTTTAGGGAGTGAGGGGCTGGTCCCCAGTGCAGCCAGCAGACACCTGTCCCTCCTGAAGGACCCAGGCAGAAACCTACAGGAACACCTTCAGGCCTGTGCACCCCAGCGGGCCCCCTGGACCTCACCCCTCCCACTACCATGGCTGTTCAACCTTGCCGCCGCCACCAACCCCCTGCAGGCTTGGGGACAGGCTGATGGGTGGAAGCTCCCGGCAAGGCCCATGGCCAGCAGGCCACCAAGTGCATAGGCAGCTCGGCATGGCGTGGCTGGAACAGTCTTGTGACAGCACTTATCCTATGGCACAAGTACCCAGAGGTGAGCTTCCTCCAGGGAACTGAGCAGAGTTTCAGCCCCTCAGAGCCCGCGGGAGTTGGGGGGCAGCCCCAGGGAGCTCCCGAGAGGCAGGGAGCCCCTGCTGGAGACCAGCCTGTGCCTAGGAGTCTAAGAGCTTTAGGATTCATCAGGAACTGGGGCACGGGGTAGTATTACCCCCAAAGTGCTATATGCATTCAGACCCTGCCCTCCTCATCCCGGCCCCTGGGACTTTAGGTTACACCAGCCTTCCCTGGGCCTGCAGGTGCACACCACAGATTGAAAAGCACCAGCCAAAAGCCTGCTTTCCATTTGCACTGCCTCAGCTTACCCCAATGAAACGGGCTCCATTCCCAGCCTGCGTGGGGCATGTGTGAACGCAGAGGGGACATGCAGTGTCCCCAGCGAAGCCCTGACCAGGTCACCCCGGACCACCTTCCTGATCCCTGGCCCGGCCGGAGCCCCTGGTAACTATAGCGGGGGCCGTGGGAGGTTCAGGAGAGGGCTAGGTGCAGGTCACAGGGGACCTCCTAGAAACCCAGGGCCCTGGAGGAGGAGCGAGGGAGCCTAGGGGCGTGAGTCAGACCAGCCTTGGCAGACCCAGCTTATCTACTGGCAAAATTACTGGGTCTGACCGAGCCTGGGCCACATATAAAAGCTTCCTCAAGCTGGCAGTTCCCAGACGCAGGTGCTGGTCCCACGATGAAGTCCTTCCTGGCGCTGCTACTGCTGACTGTCCTGGGTGCTGCCCTGGGTAAGGCTGTTGGCTGCCCTGTGGAGGCCTGGTGGCCCAGGGGCCTGGAGGCTGTGGGGGTTGGCTGAGGTGCCAGGAGCAGCAGGCTGGCCTGGAGAGGTGCAGGAAACCTTTGCGGAAGCTTCCTTTGTTGGGGCACAGGTGTGTCTAACACCCCTCTGGGCTCTCGTGGGGAGCAAAATGCCACCTAAGAGTCCCAAGGCGCCTGAGCTTCCTGGCTGGGCCTCAGCGAGGGTGTCCTCTGCAGACCCCAGGGCTTGCCTGGCGCCGCCCTGGGCCAGCCAGGGTATGGTGGCTGCCCTCTGGCCAGCTGTGTCCTGACCTCCATGACCCGGCTTTGGGGCCAGGACAGGGGTAGCAGCGGGGCCTGTGATTATCAGCTGAATAATTATCATCTTGCAGATAATGAGCCACAATTAGCCTCCCTGAGTGTGGGTCAGGGAAGGGCCCTTGCGGAACAGTTTGAGGAGGGCTGGGAAGACTGGCATGGCTGCCTCAAACCAGGACCTGAGCTAGCTGGCCCGGGGATGGAGCAAAGGGCAAGGTCAGTCGGGATGGTTCTGATCGCAGGGAGGTAGTGGAGAGGGACCGAGGCTGCGAAGGCTGCGCCAAGGAGGGGACAGTACACAGAGCCTCTGGACGGGGTCCTCTGGCGCACGCTGGACAGAGCCTCCAGAGAGGTATCTGCTACTGGGGAGCTCACCCCAGTGTCCAGGGAGCTCAGTGAGGACCCTGAGGCTGGAAGGTCCTTGTGCAGGGTAAGCAGAAGTCTTTCTCGGGGTCGCCAGCGCTGGGGACTAGATGCAGAGAGTTCTGGGAGGCCCAGGGCCGCCCTGGAACACACAGGCCATTCCTACTTAGCTGGAACTTCTGGAATCCTGGCCCAGAGGTGTAGACTTTGGGCCTAGGAGCGGGTCCAGGAAGGCCCCTTGCTCCTCCAGTCCCTGCGCCGGTCAGCTACTCCTAAGAAGCCTGTGGGTGCTGGTGGGCAGCAGCTTGGTCCAGGGACTGGCCAGGGCTCAGCACATAGCATGGGGCCACAGAAAGTTGCTTCAGCTCTGCATGGGGCCCCAAGGTAGAGCAGGTAGCAGGCTCAGGCAAGAGGAACCATGGCCTAGGGGCCGCTCCTGGCCTCTGACCAACAGCCCTATGCTCCCACCACAGGCTAAGGCCCACAGCTCAAGAGTACCCCCAGCTGCAGGGGGCAGGAGCCGTGGGCTGCATCCACCCTCCAGCCACGCACCCTCACTCTGGTTGGGGCCAGGGCCAAGCAGAGCTCAGGCCTCTTGCAGCCTCACAGTCCCCTTTAGCGCCCTCGCCTCCCACTGTGATCCAGCTCCTGGCTTTGCAGGCCCCAGGGCCGCTGCGGGCCAGGGAGGCAGGGCCTAGCTCCAACACGGCTGCCCAGCTGAGCTGACAGCTGGCCAGCCCATAGGGCCAGGGGCACAGACCCCTCGTCCTGCACGCGGCAGACTGTGCTCCTAGGACACACCGGTGGGAGGGAGGCGGGCGCCCAGCCCCAGGCCCAGCCCGCACTGACGGGCCTGTGCTTCCCCGTAGCCCGGGCCCTGCACTGCCACGTGTGCTGTGGCCACGAGAACTGCGAGTCCCTAGTGGAGTGTGCGGCGACCGACAAGTACTGCGTCATCACACGGGCCAGTGAGTACCCGGAGGCGCCCCACCAGCAGCCCAGGCCACCCCAGTGCAGCCACTCGGACTAGTGGGAGGGAAGGGGCCAGCAGGCTGCTTGCAGACCCTGGACGCTCCATGGCCCTGGACTTGCTCCGCTCGCCCGGCACCTTCCCTGCTGGGCCTTGTCCTCCCTGTGGCATCTCAGAGCCCCTCTGAGGGTGCATGTGGATGGGGACCCTGAGCAGAGCTGGCATCAGACCCAGATGGGGGCTCAGAGGATCCTGGGGTGGAGTGAGACAGCCGAGAAGCCAGCATGTGGCAGTCGTGGGACAACCAGTGGAAGACAGGCCAGAACACGGGGCAGGAGGGGTGGAGGGCCCGGACCAAGCGCTCCCTGCAGGGGAAGGAGGCGTGGGTGCAGCAGGGCAGGAGGGCGCCCGTGTTGCCATTTCATCCAGGGACCGGGGTCGTCTCAGGCACCTACAAGTCCCGTGAGGCCCCACATGGGCCCAGGGGGGCTGGGGCTGCCCCAGGACCTATCTCAGGACTGTCTCCTCACTGGCCCAGTGTCTCTAGGAGGGAGCAGCAGACAGCCTCCTCATGGCCCTGCACCCCCTAGACAGCCAGCTAGAGCAGGTGCAGCCGGAGCGGAACAGTGCTGCCCAGGGTCCCTGCTGCCGACCGTGCCCAGGGTCCTTGCTGCCGACCCTGCCCAGGGCTAGCCTTCCAATGTCTATTTTTCAATGACTCCTGCAGTAGCCACAGCTCTCCAACCCGTTTCTCAGGCCAGCAAACAGGCACTCAGAGTCCCAGCTCAGCAGGGTTGCCGCTGAGCTCCGGCCAGGCTTGCTTGCGGTCTTCGGCCTGCCTGGAGATGGCCTGGAAGCAGGCAGCAGAATGCTCCCCCCCGCACCTGACTGTGGAACAGGCTCCTTAACAACAGGGTGTGGGTGCTTTTCCAGGCCTCCTATGTGATTGGAGGGCCTGCTACAATGCCTGCCATGGAGGGGTGCCAGGGTGCCGTGTCCCACAGCGCCAACAGGGTGCATCCTTGGCGGACGATTCAACTCACGCCTACAGCCTTTTCCACTCCCTCTATTGTAGCCAGAGGGAGTCTGCCCGCCCCACTGCCTTCTGCCGTCTACTGCTCACTGGCCCCTCACAGTCACGGGGCAGGCTGGGGGTCTTCACTCTCTCCCTGCCCACACTTGGTCTGGGATTACAGCTTCCAAAATGTTCTGAATTCTCACTTAAGTCCTGGTTAGGGACATGGCAGCTCACCGTTACCCAAAGCTCCTGGGTTCCTGGGGTCCCCTACAGCCCACATTGTATTGGCCCAGATGCCATGTCTCACACAGACGCAGTGGAGCAGCCCCCACCCAGGGCCCCCTGCCTCCACTTCCCCCATAGGACATAGACTGCCAGGCTCTCCCATGCTGAGGGGTGAGGGTGACCCCTGACAGGGTGGGCTGGAGGTAGATCTGCTGAGTTGGACCCGGCCAAGGTTGCTCAGGTCCCTGGGAAGGACTGCCCCCAGGGGAGGTCAAGCCATGTCACGTAGGGGCCCCTGGCTGGGCAGGTGTGGGGCACGTGTCAACGGCAGTGTGGCACCCGAGTAGCCGCGGGACCCTGCTCTCTCTCCGCAGCCAACCCGGGTGGCATGCTTGTCATGAAGTCCTGTGCCCCGACCTGCCCCAACAGCACCGTGTCCTCTGATGGCCGCGCTCTCTCTGTCTCCTGCTGCCAAGACAGCCAGTGCAACCGCAGTGCCGCCTCCAGTCTGGCGGGCAGCCCTGGTGCCCTGTGGGCCAGCGCCTCTGCCAGCCTGCTGTGGGTGCTGCTGCAGGCCGCCTGGTGAGGGCCCGGCCAGCAGGTGCAGTGCCCTCTGCCACCCCAGAGAGTCCGCATCCCCAACCCTGGCTGCCCCTCCTCCTCCCTGCCTCACCCGGACCCCACCCCAACCACTTGTGCGGAAGGGAGACCAGGACCACAGCCCTCCCTGGGCACCTTCCACAGACCCTCCCGCTCCAAGCCCCTCTGTACAGAAACAGCCCTCTGGCTCCCTGACCCTCATCCGTCATCTGAGGGGCGTGGGTTGGTGGTTCCTGCTCCCCCAGGCTAGTCCCGGCTGGACCCCCATGTCCATGGCCAGGCCGTGTCCCCATCACAAACCTGTTGCCCAACATCTTGTGCTCACTCCCTGGGTCCCAGCCACGGGCCAGCACAGATGACACTGCCCTGCCCCAGGCCTCACACAGCAGCTCTCTCTACCACCCAGGACCACAGCCCTGCCATGGAAGAATGCAACCTGTCTGGGCAGATGCACCCTGGCTGCCCCCCTGGGCCTGGGCCTGCTCACCAGGGGTCGGGTAAAGCGTGTTCATCTCGTGGGTGCAGCGCCGTCCTCCCTCACCCAGTGGTGTCAATCCTTGAGCTGCTATAACAATAAAGTTAGACGGTTTGCCAACTTCCCCTTCCCTGGGACGTCCAGTCCAGGGACATGGCTGCTCCCCGGCAGACTGTGGTATGCACACGCCTGCTTAGGAGTAGGGGTCAGGCCCTTGCCTCGCCCCTGTGTCCATGCCTGCTCAGGAGTGGGTCAGGCCCTTGTGTCACTCCTGATCTCCCTGTGGGCAGAAGCTTCATGCCTGTTGATTCCAAGCTGGGGCTCCCTGGAGTCCTCGGAGGGGTCCCTGTCCATGCTGCCCCAGAGATGTCCGTGCCGCAGCCACCCAACCACCCTGTGCAGGGACGGAGCTCCTGGAACCCTTAGAGACAGCACCAGGGCCGGGAGTCCTCCATGTCCACCCCACCCCAGGCCACAAAAGGCAGAGGCCCTGAGCAAGGCAGAGGGCACTTCTGCGGTGGGAACTGTGAAACCACATCTTTCCACAGAGCCTGCATGGGCGGGGTCCCTCGGCACCCAGGGCCAGGCTGGGTCCCTTGTGCCTGTTCGACCCCACCCGACTTGGGCTCAGCTCCCCCAAGGCTCTGGGGATTTTATCTCTTCCCCACCCCACCCCGCAGCTCCTCCACCCCAGGGACACACCCACTCCACTTCTTCTGTAAGGCAAGATTGTGGGTGACACGTCTCTTGATCACTTAAGCCCCTGGGACTGAGCTAAGGAGCTCCCTGGCAGAAGAGAGGGCACAACATGGAGCCTGTGCTCGGCCCTGAGCGCTGACCCGGATCCCGGGGCCACGTGGTCGGACACATGAGGTCCAAGCACCTGCTTCTGCCCAGTGTGAACTCCCAAGCATGAGGACAGCGGTGTGCCTCCAAGGCTGCTGCAAGTCACACCCACGCACAGGGGCCGAGCCCAGGGCCAGGCTGACTCAGTCAGGGGCAGGTGGCGGGAGGGCAAGGTACAGGGGAGGCCCCTAACCTGTGGCCCTGCTGGAACCCTCACCAGGGAACTGCTGTGCAATGACACAGGGCAGGGGTCCTGGGGTAAGGACAGGCCCCCGTGAAGTCAGCAGAGGCCTGTCCTGGCCAGGAGGCAAGGGGACAGGAACATTCCACCTGTGCGGCAGGGCTGCACACAGCCACAGCTCCCCGCCACCAGTTGCCAGCAGGCCCTGGGCCACTGGCCCGCACCCCAGGCAACCTCTGGAGCCAGCTCCCCACCACCACATCCCTGCATTCAGTTACTTGGCCTGGAGGGTTTTCAGTGCTCTTTTCAGCTCCTGGGAATGCGCCTCGGTACCCCCTCAGCCTGGCACATAGGACTGCAGGGTGCCTGACACAGCCCAGGCTCTCCAGACCCATCACAGATTCCCGGATGGGTGGACAGGTAAACAGGTGACTGACGAGTGGATATGGAGACAGCAGATGATGAATGGCTGGCTGGCTGAAGTGCTGGGTGAAGAGAGGGACAGGTGAGTGGCTGTGGAAGCACCTGCAGGCAGGGGAGGGAGGAAGCAGGGCCTGTGTTCATTCCCCCGGACAGCTCAGCTGTTGGCAGTCTCGGTCTCAGGCCTGGACAGGGCACAGGGAGAGCCGCGTTACTGGCTGGAGCAGGAACTCTTGTCTTTGGGTGGACACCTGGGCTGAGGGGCCTTCCCAGCAGGCAGCAGCTCCCTCCGTAGCACTCGAGGTGCCCAATTCTAGAAGCCCACACAGCTCGGAGGCTGCCTCCTCGGGGGTCCCGCGGTGCTCCAGCTGGGGTGCATGGCCAGACGGCCGGGCTTCCGTGGTCTCTCCCATGTGGTGGGATTTCGCATGCAGTTCACTTCATCATGGGAATGGGACTGGCTTGGCCCCGAGTGCCTGCACACTCCGGGGCGCAGCCGAGACACCGTTACCACTCTGTGGAGCCGTGTCCAGGCTGGGGTGAGGACAGCAGGAGGTCAGACTCACCCTCAGACCCCACACAGCCTATGGCACAGTTCTGACTCCCTGGGACGGGGGCTGGGGGATGGGGCCCTGTCCAGGGAGCAGCTGCCCCACGGAGCACCCTCTAGTTCCGGTCAGTCGCAGCACTGCCTGTCTGGTTGTGTCAGATCCCACAGGCTAAAGGTTATGTCCTTTAAAGCTGGTCCCCAGGGGGCTGGTGCTGTGACAGGGCAAGACTGAACCTCCACCTGCAGCATCAGCATCCTACATGGGCACCAGTTCATGTTCCCGTGTGCCACTCCTGATCCAGTGCCCTGCTTACGGCCTGGGAAAGCAGCAGAGGGTGAGCCAAGTCCTTGGGGTCCTGCACCCCAGCTCATGACCTCACACACACCTGGCCATTGCAGCCATTTGGTGAGTGGACCAGTCACTGGAAGAGCTTGGCCTCTCTCTGGAGCTCTGCCTTTCAAATAAATACAGTAGGACTCCAGCCTGGCTCCTCTGCCTGCATTCTGACATCCACGCCCTTGGAGCTGCCGGTGTAGCAGCCAGAGCTCTGAGAATGGTCTGTTCGTGTTTTTGCACGTGGGTAGGGGCGGCATGCCCGCAGGGACGCAGTGGGGTACAGCAGTGGAAGAGGAGTTTCATCCCCCACTCCCAACACACCATCTGGGAACCTCGGCCTGCCATAGCCTTGCAGGAGGCTGCACTGCCAAGGCGACACTGGCCCTGCCCCTGCCTGGGGCACCCCACCAGCAGGCACTCCCTTAGACACTCCACACCGAAACACCTGGGATGCTTTGGGAGTCCAGCGAGCGAGACAAAGGCCACGTGTCCACAGCGGGCGCTCCCCACTGCAGCTCCTGCTCATCAGTGCTGCTGACACTCCGAGCATTCATCTGGCTCCGGCTGGGACAGGGATGCATGAGGGACGAAAGACACACACAGCGCCCCGCGGGCCCTGGCCCCTTGGCCTGGTGCCCTGTCCTGCCTCACAGCTGAGACCACCCCTCATCTGCTGCAGCCGGTGGCCCCAGCACCTCGCCCTGCCGTTGTCATCTTCTCACCCCAGAGGTATCCACTACCCTTGGAGCTGGGGGTGGATTCAGAGTGTTGTTGGAGGAGTACATCAAGAACCTCAAGGCAAGGTGGCAAGGCACATTTGGGGGTCCCGGGCTACAGCTGGGGCCCGTGGCAAGCTGTGACTGAAGAATCCCCCCATGCTCCAATGGGTGGCTAGCACCTCCCATCCAGGCAGCTGAGTGCCCACCTGTGCCCACCACCCACCCAGGCTGGGCCTGGGGCAGCATGCTGTATCACCTTCCCTCTCAGTCTAGCATAAAGGACGGGCAGGGAGAGTGTGGGCAGGAAAACTGTCCCAGACTGCGCTCTGGGCAGGGCCCGAACCTGCTGGCCAGCCAGGGTCGGGAGCAACACCATCCACATCCACGGCGGGGGCGGGGGGCCGACTTAAACTGCGCCCTCCCCACTCAAACCTCAAAACCGTAGGGCCCCGGCCAGGCTACTGCCTACAGGAAGCCCCCATGACTGCCTTGCTCCAGCAGCTCTCCACTGGCTTAGGCGACTCTAGCCCTCAAAGTCACCCACTTTGGCCTGGATGGAGAGTATGGTCAGGGTCATTGCTCGTTGCCTCGTGTCCCTGTGGGCAGCCTGTCCTCCCCGTCTCACCGCCCCAACCAGAAGGCTGCACCTGCCCCAGCCTCCGATGCTGCAGAAAGGCTGGTCCCCATCAGCGGGAGGCACAGCCAGATAAGAGCCACCTACCACTCCGGGTGGTCCCACTCCAGACTCCGCTCCCTGTCTACCCAGCATCCCAGCCCTTGGGCACACCCAGCCGGAATTCCAAACCCGCTTTTCCAGCGGCTCCCACGCCGCTCGCCCCAGTGAGTCACCATCTGCAGTCACCACTCTGTCACCATGCCTTGGGCTCTGTTTCCCAGGGGGTCCAGGAGCACCCTCCCCGGGGGGGCCCGTGCTTCCCACCCCCGCCAGGCACTTCTAGGGCTGAGGCTGCAGGCAATCCTTGCTCTTGGGGGCTTCTGCCCACACTCCATGTGGGCGCCCAAAGGCGCTGTCGCATGCTGGCCCAGTCAGAGCCCTGCGTCTTAACTTCCCCTACTTGATGAAGGGGGGTGACTGGCCCGGCACAGGCGCTGGCTTGCCCAGAATGAGGCAGGAAGAAGCCCGGGGAGCCCGTGACCCTCCCTGCTGCAGGACCCATCCTGCCCACCTTATTTTGATGGGTGCAGGCAGGTACACCGGGCCTCCCACAGAGCTAACCGCCCGCTGCCCATGCCACCCAACAGCGCACTGGTAGAGCCAGGTCGCAGCAGGTCCCACCTCCATCCGCAGCAACAGCTCCAGCATGGCGGGGTCCCCGGAAAAGGACGGAGACCCAGCAGCACCCAGCTGCAGGGCCAGGACCTCTGGCCACAACCAGCCCTGGCTGGCTCCTGCGAGGCAGCTGGGACACAGAGCCCCCCACATGGCTAGACCGAGTCCAATCTGGGCCCATGGGTGTGGCCCCTCTGACATCACCGGCCCCACCCTTGGTCTGGGCCTGTTATAAGGGCCTCCTCGGAACAGGGGCCCTCGGCTCCCCGCACTCCAGAGATGAGGACACTAGTGCTGCTCGTCACCCTGGCGGTGGCCACGGGGCCCGGTGAGGAGCTGGGCGGGCGGGAGCAGGGTGGCCCGCTGGGCTTCAGCAGGAGTGAGCAAGGAGACCCCCATGAGCCCCTATCTTTCCTGAGTACAATTGCAGGGCTGTGGCCTCTCAGGATGGGCAGGGACTGGAGACTGGAGGGGAGCACCCCGGTACCCCGGTGGGATGGGAGGTCAGCCCTAAGGTGGGGTAAGGTGGGAGGACACCCCCAGCGAGGGGTCAGCTGCACGATGGCCCTCTAGCTCTCCGAGGCAGCAGATGAAAGGTCTCCAAAAGACCCACAGTTATTCCAGGTCAGGACGCCTCCTCCAGGGTGGTTGCCGGGCTGATCACGAGGCCTGGGGCTCCAGGAGGGTCCGGCCCCTGCGTGGGAGGCACAGCCCTGGCTGAGATTCCTTTGCTTCCTGCCAGCCTGGGCTCTGCAGTGCCACGTGTGCAGCAGTGCCACTAACTGCAAGCATCCCGAGGCCTGCCCCAGCAGCTCCCGCTTCTGCATGACCACAAACACGGGTAAGGCCCAGCAGGCTGGCCGGGGGTGCGTGGGGGCTGCCCAGGCAGCTGCCAGGCCTCACCGCTCCTTGTTTCTGCAGTAGAGCCTCTGTCGGGGAACCTGGTGACCAAGTCCTGCGCCGACTACTGTACCCCCAGCCAGAACATGCAGGGCCAGGTCAGCAAGGGCACCGCGGCCACCTACTGCTGCCAGAGCGACCTGTGCAACGAGAGAGCCAGCAACGCTGCACCCTGCCATGCCCCGCTTGCTGGCACCCTCCTAGGCCTCATGCTGGCCGCCGGGCTCCTTGCCTGCACCTGGGCCCCAGGCCTGTGACCCCGTGGGTCCTGGCTCATGCCCTGCTCTTCCCCAACCCCTCCCTGGCTGGACTGGGTGCTTGATGCCCTCTGCTGGGAAAGCCCTCCACCAGGGTGTGGAGAACAGCCCCTCCCACGGCAGCCCGGGGTCGTCGCGGGCCCATCCCCTCACCCTGTTTATTTTTCTACTGGAAACTGCATGGCAATAAATGTTTCTAACCCAGCACCTACTGCTGTTGTTCCGGAGTGCGAGGGGTTGTCTTCTATCAGCACCCCGTCCCCAGAGCTGCAGGGGCGGGCATGACTCAGAGTCCCTGGGGTGGAGCCAGGCACCCAGGGACAGGGAGGGCCTGAGAAGAGCACAGCCTGGGCCTGGAGCCACATACCCAAGCCAGCAGCCCTCCCTCGACACAATGCTCCCAGCTCAGTCCACAGCTGGTCAACTCTAGCCTCTGGTCAGCACGAGCTCAGACCCCACGGAGCCTTGTGGGGGATCCCGGTGAGAGGCACGGCTTCTCCCACCCTCCACAGTCTCACCCTGGGACACTAGCATACCCACCACCCTCCATCCTGGAGCGGGCCCAGAGCCCCTGACAGCTGCGGGCAGGCAGTGGGACTTGATGGAGATCAGCTGAGCCTGCCCAGGCGGCCCTGGCCTTGGTCTGCAGTGGCCTGGCTGCTCCAGCCTCACCAGAAGCGTGGAGTCCTGTACATGCAGCCGGAGCCCACTGGTGCCCCTGGGCTTGTGAGGGGCGGCCCCAGCCTCCACCAGGGCCTCCCAAGGCTGCCACTCCCAACCTGCTCTCAGAAGGCCGGACGGAAGCACCTGGTGGCCACTGAGAGCCAATCATTGCGAGGCAAGAACACTTCCTCGCTAAGGCCACTTGACCCAGGACCCACCACTTTCTGCTCCATGAGACAGGCGACTAGAGGGACCAAAGCACCCAGAGCAGGGTGTCCAGGCTGGGAGCAGGGCAGCGGGTCTTCCATGCCATGGCACATACGGGCATCCAGGGGCAGGGAGTGGGAGAAGACAACAAATGGTCCAGTTTCAGTACCAAATGTCACGCGGGAAGCTGCTGGCGAGTGGCTGTGCCCGCATGGCTGTGCCCGAGTGGCTGTGCCCGAGTGGCTATGACTGCGTGGCTGTGGCCGAGTGGCTGTGCCTGAGTGGCTGTGCCCGAGTGGCTGTAACCATGTGGCTGTGGCCGAGTGGCTGTGCCCGAGTGGCTGTGCCCGAGTGGCTGTAACCACGTGGCTGTGCCCGAGTGGCTGTGCCTGAGTGGCTGTGCCCGAGTGGCTGTAACCACGTGGCTGTGCCCAAGTGGCTGTGACTGCGTGGCTGTAACCACATGGCTGTGCCCGAGTGGCTGTGCCCGAGTGGCTGTAACCACGTGGCTGTGCCTGAGTGGCTGTGACTGCGTGGCTGTGCCCGAGTGGCTGTGACCGAGTGGCTGTGACCGGCTCACATAAGCAGCTTGCAGCTGTAGTAATCGCAAACCCCAGGGCTGATGGGAAGTCAAGGAGGGGCAAGGGATCCTCAATGAGAAAGTTGTGGGGACCAGGAGCCCAGGGCACCGGGCAGGGGGGAGGACTGAGCGTCACAGAGGGAGAGGGACCCGCCTGCCAGAGGGGGAACATCATTGTGGTTGTCTGGGAGCACCTGCTCTTCAGTCCGGCTTCCGTGGCACCCGGGAAGTCCTCCCATGGCACTCCTCCTTCTCCTGAGTGGACGGGAGGACGTTTGTTCACAGGAGGCTGTGACGTGCCCCGCCAGAAACCAAAGCACATGGCTCCTTGCCCTGGGTCAGGAGGCAGACAGCAGTACCCACGCCCCTGTGGCGGGGCCAGGAGGGCATGCGAGGGGGCCTGCAGGAGGAATGTGGGAGTCAGGATACGGGTGAGAGGAGCAGGCAGCGGCGTGTGGCAGGGAGCCTCGGCTCCCATGAGGTCACAGCAGAACCCAGGCCAGCGACAGACTGCCCGCCTCCCCATGCAACAGCCAAGGAGATCCCCCAAATAACCAGTGGGTTTCCTGGGACTAACAAGGGCCTCCCAAAAAGAACACATGGGCCGGAGCAGACAGGAAAGGGCTAAAATGGAGAGATGGGCACAGCACTGACTACAGGACACAGGCCCCAGGCTGCACCGGTCCTGGCTGGGGAGACTCCGGGAAGGTGCTCTCGGTGTGGGCTTGGCAGGATCTGGGCGAGGGCTGAACCTGCCAGTCCAGTGAAGTTCAAGGCCCCAGTCCAGGGCACACCCTGCCCCGACTTCCTGAGCCCAAGTGGAGGCCAGAGCCCTCAGGGACAGACACGGAGCTGAGGAGCAGGCACGGCCCTCCCTCCTCCCAGGCTGACCCCAGGGTCATCAGCCCTCTGGTCCTCAGGCCTTTGGTGCAGCCCGTGGACAGGCCGGCTGGCAGGCGCAGTGGATGTCTCAGCGCGGCGCTTTCCGATGTTACCACCAGGCCCTTTCCGTTAACGAGTTCTACCTTCGCTCACTTCGTAGGGTTGTCAGGTGTGAGCGAGGTCAAGCCAAACAAGCCCGGGACGTACTAGGAATCCTTGTGAAGCAAACTCAATGACGGCAGTGCCCACTGGAAATTAGGCAAAGGCAGGTTCATGCGGCAATCCAGTCTGAATCGAACGGTCATGACCATGGAACCAGTCTATTAAACTGAAGACCTGTGTCCCAGCTTCCCCAGCAATGCAAGAAACATGCAGCCGACAACCTGGGCACACTTGCAAAGCTGCAGAGTTCCCCTCTCCCTGGCTTCTCCGCCCACATTCCATCACTGCCGGCCTCGCCTCGCCGGGGACTCTGGAAATACAGAGCACCTTAGTGTTGCTGCCCTTACCGGGTGAGGAATACAGGGCCATCCTCAGGGAACACCTGTCCTCGGGGTCTGTCCTGGCCAAGAGTCGAGGGCCAGAGCGAGCCCCTCCCTATGGGGGGTCCTTATAGGGCCTTGCGGGGGGGGGGGGGGGGGGGTTACACGACAATGCAACACCACCCCCTCTCAGGTTCCAGGTGGTGACAGGTGGGCCGGGGGAGCACCTAGGTGGCAGGGAGGAGTGGCTTCCAAGCTGAGCTAGCTGCCTGTCCTACAATGGTAGGACTCGTCTGCTCTGGGCCCCACAGCTCCCAGCCTTCTCTTGGGCATCGTAGCAGGCTCCCATGCCAGGGAGGCAGTGCCAGCTCGCTGGGTGGCTTTGAGGATGCGAAGCGGGCGCAGAGGGAACCAGGCTGTCTCTTTTCTGCCACTCCTCAGACTTGCACTTGCAGTTGGCCAAACCTGCGACTGTCTTGGCCACCACTTCCCCTTCCTCCCTCCCAGGACTCCACACACACAAACACACTTGCTTGCATGCCACATGCATGTTCACCCATGTTCACATACATACACAGGTGTGGCGCACACCTGCCAGGCCACTTGAAGCTAACCAGCTCCCTCTCCCTCCCCCAGTCCAGTCCTGTGGTTCTGCAGCGCCCAGGAGAGGCCCGACCCCTGACGGACCCCACTCCTCTCCCTGAGCGCGGGGAGCAGGGTGGCGGGGAGGGAGTCCCGTGAGAAGGTGGAAGGACGCCTCGGCCTCCTCACACATTTTGCCTGAAAAGCAAAGTATCTGAAGAGCTGGAACCCCGGCAGGATCGCGGGGCAGGGCTCCCCTAGCCTGCCCCACGCCGCACGGGAAGCCCCCAAGCTGCGCCAGCGGGGTCGCGCCCTCGGTGCCCCGGGCTGTGTGCGTGCTGGCGCGCCCGGACACTACGAGAGGAACCGCGGCCTCCGCGCGCGGGAGACGCGCTGGAAAGAGGGGCGGGGCCGGGGCGGGGCCTTGCAGGAAGCGCTGGGGCCAGCGGCCTGGGGGCGGGGAGGGGGCGGGGTCGGGCTGGGATCTGCGGCTGAGGCACGCGGGCTGGGGGAGGAGAAAGGGCGGGGACGGGGCGGGGCCTCCGGAGACCGCGGGCGGGGGATGGCAGCCGGGGGTGGGTCTGGGGCGGGGTTTTCCGCGACCTCGCGCTCCGCCCCCGGCTCGCCGCCCCAGAACTCGCAGGACCGGTCTTGCGGTGTGGGCGCTGCGGCAAACCGGGCCCGGCGCGCGTCCCACCCGAGGCGGAGGCCGGCGAGCGGCTGCGCGTGAGTTCCGGGCTCTGCAGGGGCTTAGGATGGTGAAGGTCGCGGAGGAGGTCGCGTTTGCCGCAGCCTTCGGGGCGGGGTGCCCAGGCCTGGCCTGGCTCGGGCCCCACTCTCCCCTGGCCGCCGTTGGTCCCGGGATAACCCCGGGTTGGTCCGGGGGTGCGGAGGGAGGGCAGACCCCAGGCCCCAGACCCCAAACCGGGCTCTGTAGAAGCCCCAAGTGGAGCGGGTGCCTGCTGCAGGGCTGCGCCTGGGCGCCCTGAGTAAGGCCGAGGCTCACGGTCCCCGCCGCGCGGCCTGCGCACCGGGCCCCCTCCACCTTCTCCAGGCGCTGCCGCATGCCAGGCTTCTGGCCAGCGTCCCGCTCAGCGCCCGCTCCCCAGGGAGCCTCCCCTACCGCTCACACGCCGCCCCGCACTGCACTGACTGCCCACCCCGCACCCTGCCCCGCTGCAGCCCCCCTGCGCTCCAGGAACAGCTGCCATGGCCCTCCTGCTGCTGGCTGCCCTGCTGGGCCTCCCTCTGGGTAAGCTGGAGGAGGGGGCTGCCGGGGGGTGGGGGGGCGCGGGGAGCCGGAACCCCCCAGGGCCTGTCTCCTGTCATGAGCTCCTGTGTGCACCCTGGGGAGGTGCTGGGCTGGGGTCCGATGGGTGCTGTGTGGCCTTGCCCCTGACCCCAGCCCAGGCTCTGGACTGTCACGTGTGCGCCTACCACGGAGACAACTGCTTCAACCCCATGCGTTGCCCAGACATGGTCAAATACTGCATGACCACTCGCACCTGTGAGTCTGGGGGCCTCCCAGGGCTGAGGCGGGGGGCGGGGCGGGGCGGAAGTAACCACGACCACCCGCTGCCCCTGCAGACTACACCCCCACCAAGATGAAGGTGAGCAAGTCGTGCGTGCCCAGCTGCTTCGAGACTGTGTATGATGGCTACTCCAAGCACGCCTCCACCACCTCCTGCTGCCAGTACGACCTGTGCAACACGGCGGGCCTTGCCGTGCCCGGTGCGCTGAGCCTGCTGGCCGCCCTGCTGGCCGTCCTCTGGGCTCTGTTCTAGGCCTGGCTCCAGCTACAAGACCCCCAGTCACCTTCGTGCCCTGGCCACACCCGGTGCCCACAACTGTCCACAGGAAGGCCCCCACCCCACCCTGCCTGTCCAGCTGAGCCCCTCCCCCAGCCACAGGCATGTGGCTTGGGCTGAGCTTGGGGAGGGCATTCCTTTGGGGCCCAACTGCAGGTGCACGTGGGTAGGGGGACGGTCCTGACCCAGGCGCCACCCCTGTGCTACCCCAGCCTCCAGCCTCAGACCTGCCCAGGGCAGGCATGGGATGGCCCTGCATCCCACAGTCCTTGGGAGGGGAGGAGTGAACGGGCTGTCCTCGAGCCCCAGCAGCCATCTGGGTCCAGCTCCCTCCTACAACAGCTGCTGCCCCTCCCCCGTCCTCTGGGGCTAGGTGAAGCTGAGCTGGGCTGGAGGAGGGAGGGTGGAGGCCAGACAGGCCATTCCTTATTTGGTGGGGCCCTGGGTGCTGAGCACTGCCAAGGCTATTCTGGGCAGCATGGGAGGGGCAGGGCAGGTGGCTGTGCGGCCTGGCTCAGCCTGGCAGAAGGGCCTCCCGGAGCCTCCAGGCCTGGGCCAGGCTCTCCACTTGGGCGTGGGGTCAGTCCTTGCAGGGCAGGTGCAGGGGAAGCAGGCCTGGGCCCTGGGGAGGGTTGTCAGCAGGGGCCCCTGGGAGTAAGGGTGCGGCTTCTCAGCTCAGCTTCCTGCCCCTCCCAGCATCCTGGCACCGTGAGCGTAGGTGGCCACTAGAGGGGGCCTGTGGCCTGCTAAATGATAGGACCCCTGTCCAGCAGTGGCCCTGGGAAACAGCCTGGGGTGATTCACCTGCCATCTTCCTGAAGAAGGGTCCAGCATTGTAGATGTCACCCCAGGAAACCAAGTGTCAGGAGCAGCAGCTGTCCCCAGGCGGGCTGGCCACCCCTCTCGGCCTTGGACTTCCTCAGGATGGGACGGACGGCTTTGAGGGAGGAAGGGAGACTGCGGGCTGGAGAAGCCGTGCGCCTGCAGCCGGCACCCAGTCGTCTGTCAGGGGTGGGGGCAGAGGCAGTGGGCACCATAGTGCCAGGACCTGGGCGCCCCCACCTTGAGGACTGCTGCGATGCAAGCCAGAGGTCCCGAGGCTCGCTGTGTGGAGTCCACACGGAGCAGCCCTGTCTCCGAGCAGTGAGAGCCGCTGAGCTCCAGCGTCCGGAGCATGCTGGGGACGGGGCTGCTTGCCTGCTCCTGTATGCCGCGCTGTGGTGTCTGACGTCCTTGGATTGCTGGAAAGCAGCCCCGTCCTGAGTGTCACACACACACCTTCCCAAACATGCTCCTGTGGCAATCACAGCCCCGGGCCTTGGCTGTCTCACTGTCCCTCCCTGGACAGATGGCGGTGTGGGTGGATGCGAGCTGGTTACATGGACGACAGATGCATGGGTGGCTGTGTGGCGTGCAAGTGGGTAGAGGATGGGTGCCTGATACGTTGATGGATGGGCAGGAGATTGATGGGTTGGTAGATGGTGGGTGGAGGTGGTACACAGGCCAGCATGTGTGGGTGCCCTCCTCTGCAGCCTCCCCACCCCCCAGCTCAGACCTCCCTTTTCTGTCTGGCTCTGCTGGCCTCCCGTTTCTATGGACCCCACACTTCCATCCCGCCCAGCTAGTCCAGGCCTCATTTCCTTCCTACCCCACAGTCCCACCTGACCTCTCAGCCAGCCCAGCTTGGGGACGTTTGGGCTCGGAGAACCGGCCTCGCCCTGTGCTACAGGACAGATATGAAGGAGGAAGGAGTCCCTGGCCCTGCTCTGGCCTAACCTCCTACTCGCTGTCCTGTGACCCCAGGTTTAGGCCCCCTCCTTCCACTCCCCCTCCTCTGCAGCCCTAAGGGACCCCTGCAGATGGCTAGAGCAAGTGTCGGGGCCGCGAGCTCTGATAGGGGCCGTGGACTCCAACAGTCCTGCTCCCGCCCGAGGTGCCGAGTGGAGTTGTCGTGGGTGGGCAGGTAAAACGAGAGAGAGCAGGCTCACACAGACATCTTGAGTGGAGACTGCCCGAACAAAGAGGGAACCACCGTCCCGGCAGCCCCCGCCGTGGCCTGGCCCCACCCCGCTGCCTGCCAGGTGCAGCCACCTGAAGGCGGGACCAGGCCCTGGTGCCAGGAGGCCAGCCGGGAAGCTCCCATCCCCTCCTTGCGTTGGCTGAGGTCAGGGTGCGGGCACTCCGACAGCCCCCGGGGGAGTTCACAGGAGGACCCCAGCCTCCCGGGTAACTCACCTGCCTCCTCCCGTCTGCTTCCCAGCTCATCCCTTTGGGGCCTTATTCCGTGTCTGGGTCCAAGCCCTGGGGGTTCTGTAGCCCTCTGCTGCCGTCATCACCAGCCCACCAGCCCATCCTCAGCCGCCACCAGGACCGCCAGTACAGGTCTGACAGGACGCCCACCAGCCCTGAGGGCCAGCACGAGACCCGCTGACTTGGGGTGGGGCGCGGAGAACGGCCTCTGGCTGCCCCCACATTGAGCTTACATGGATCTTGGAAGGGCCTCCAGGCCAACACCCCAGGCCTCCTGCTGGGAGCAGCCTGCATGGGGCACCCGCTGGGCCGGGCAAGCATGCTGTGAACTGGCTGTGGCCCAAGCTGGCAGCTGCAGGGTACCCGATTGGCAAGCTTTGGCCACAGCCCAGCTCCTGGGCAAGGGCAGGTGACTCAGGCACAGGAGGTGGGTGGAGGCCACCCAGTATAAGGGATGGTTGGGTGCCTCTGGCTGCCCTCCTCCCGAACATGCAGTTCCTCACTGGGCTCCTGCTGGCCGCCACCGTGAGCCTGCAGCTGGGTGAGTCCACCATGTCCTCCCGTCCTCCTTACCCTGTCCCATCCTTCCCGTTGGCTTCCGGTGTTCAGCCCCGGTGCCCTCTGCTGGGGTCCCTCCCGCACAGGGGTAACCCCCACTGTCCCACCTCATCCCAGGACTACCCCCTCCAGTGCCCGTCTCCCTCTGGCCCTGGCCAGGACCCAGAGGTCTCCCCCTCAGTACTTCCGCCCTGCTGCAGGTCTCAGCCCCCACCTCCTGTCCTCCAGGCCCTCAAGTGCTTAGACTGAGGCAGCAAGGGCCTGGCCCCCTCTCTGCTCCCCAAAACCCCACACTCCCACGGGCGGCGTCTCAGTTCCTGGGCTGGCTCAGCTTGTTTCTGAGTGCTCGCGTGACAGCCCCAGGACCGAGGACAAGGCTGCAGGTGCCGGCAGGGCTTCGGCCTGCTCTGTGAGGCTGATGGACCAGTACAGCCTGCTGACTGGGTACTGCCCTGGGGGTGCCAAGGACTCACAACCAACCCTGGGCACAGCTGTGGCCAGAGCAGAGCTGGGGGGCCCAGAAGAGACCATGTGGCCAGCTCAGCGACTGCAGCCAGAGGCCTCGGCCTGTGCTGACCAGGGACTTTGTGCAAGTCCGAGTCCCAGGTGTGAAGCCGGGAAGGCTAGGACAGGGAGACCCCCGCCGGACGCGGGGAGGGCCAGGCAGGGACAACAGGAAACAAACACAGGAATGAACCGCGGCCCTGCCTGCCTCCTTTGTGTCCTGTCCATGGTCCCTGTGCCACCTCAGCCAGCCCCACGGGCCTCAAGGGTGGGGAACAGATTCAGAGAACCCTCTCCATCTTGCACCCCAATCCTCCCAGCTCCCTGAGAGCCCAGCCTCAGATCACCGCTCCCCAAGGTTCTCACCGTCCTGGCTGCTTCCCTGGCTGGGCACCCTGGGTAAGGGACACTCGCTGGCTTTGATCTCTGTGGCCAGGGGACAGCCCAGCAGGAGCCTGAGCTCACGCCTTGACCGGGAGTGCCCATGTCCGCTCCTTGCCTTACCCCAATGGCGTTGGCGGGCAATGTGGCTTCCTTGCGAGTGGCGGCCTGGCCGTCTGCCCGTCTGTCCACAGCTGCAGCCCAGGGCATGTGGTGTCACCAGTGCAAGGGCTTCGGTGGGTGCTCCCATGCGGCCCAGTGCCCCCGGGGCATGACCCACTGCGTCGTCATCGCCACGCGTGAGTGGGGAGGGGCAAGATGGCCTGGGCCCTGGGTTGGGGGAGAATGGGCAGCTGGTTGGTCAGCCGGAGCCCTGTCCAAGCGGGCCTGCACCTGCCCCTAGGGACCACACCTACCTGCCAGATGGGGTGGGGGGCCCCAGAGCAGGAGGGGTGAGGGTGGGACAGGCAGCCCAGAGCCTCAGGGAGTCCCATGGCTTCTCTCCTGCCCCCTAGGAGCCCCCATCAGTTTTGAGGACCTGCCCCTCGTCACCAAGAAGTGCTACAGCGGCTGCCCGGACGTGAGGAGCCTGGACCTGGGCCCGCATGTGTCCATCGCCTGCTGCCAGTCCAACCTCTGCAACCACGACTGACCCTCTGGGCCTGAGCCCCGAGGCCCGCCCAGGCCCCCCACCGCTCCCAGCCCCAAATAAAGTGTGGCCAGCCAGCATGCTCAGCTGTCTGTCTGGGGGTGGGGCACCACGCTGGGTGCAGAGTGAGCCCCACTCCCAAGGCCATCTCTGTTCTCACAGCCCCCTCACCTCCCCTCTGGCTCAACAGGTATTGGGGACCCAAGGGTGCAGACACCTCACAGACAGCATGGGGCCCCAAGCAGACACTATTGTGTGGGCCAACTGGGGAGACCCCTTGAGCGCCTCAATGCACAGCAGGGGGCTAGGAGGCCTTGCAGAACAAGACAGATGAGAGGTGCAGACAGGGGCTCCCCCAGGAGCCCCAGAAACTCATAGGACATGGGGGCTCAGGGAAGCAACTCCCCCCAGTGCTGCTGCTCACAAGAAACCTAGGGCATCCTTGGCCTGGGGGTCTCCCCTGTGTCTCCCCTGGGATGAGGACACATAGCTCCTGGGAAGGGGAGCCTTGGGGGTCTGCCGGGGCGAGGGGCCCAGAGCCGTGCTGGGGTTGGCGGAACCCACCTGACCTCCAGATCTCTCAGGGGGAGGGAGGGAGGAGCACACCCCATAACTCCTCACCTCGTGGTCCCCGGAGTGGGAGCCAGCAGCCTCGCCGGGCAGGAGTTGGCACAGGACACATGCGGCATGGGACAGCCTGGGTTGGCCCCTCGGGCAGCTGCAGCAGCTGGACACCACTTGCTTCACCACAACCACCGTTCTGTTCAGGCAAGGCTTAAAAACAAAGCAGAGGCAGGGCCACGAGGTAGCTCAGGCAACATGCTCCGACGCTGACCTCTGCCACTGCCAATGCCACACACACGCCCTGGCATACGGGGGTACAGGTGCTGAGTAGAGCCAGCCAACCGACCAGGCAGCTCAGCCACACAGCAGGACAAACCGAGGGAACCCCAAATGTCCTGCACTCTGCTGGCTGCCCAGAGGTCACTGGGCCCCAGGACAGAGGGCCTTCAACCTTCCCAGTGCCCCGGGGACTTGGGAGCCTGGTCCCAAGACCAGGCTTTGAGGTTCTCTGAGGGGGGACCCCAAGAACACGTTTTGGGGTATGGCCACAGGTTAGGACACACAGGTGTCAGTGGTGGCTCTAGGCGGGCCCTGAGGGAAGGTAGGAGGGTCCCAAAATGTCCACGCAAAATGCAGGTGGAAGTTCCCCTTGTGCCCACCACCATGGACCTTACCAACCCACCCACCACTTTCCCATCTAAATAGGTTCCACAAAGTTCCTCCTACACTTCAGATTACCGAGCCTCACACCCAAATAAACTTCCCTTTGAATGACGCTGTTTTCCATGAGTTATTAAGAAACGCTTTTTCATTGATTTTATTCAAAAAGCAAGTGGGGTGCGGTGAAGGGTACCTTGCATCCTGCGGTTCCCCTCCAAATGCCCACAACAGCCAGGGTTGGGCCAGGTGGGAACCAGGAAGCTTGACTACCCTCAGGACTCCCTCTGTGGGTGGCCAGGGGTCAAGTCCTGGGCCGTCGGCCACCCCTCCTGCAGTGTGCACAGAGCCCACACGCGCCGTGGCACTCAGGGTGCAGGGGCTCACTGCCACGTGTGTCTCACTAAACGAGGCCCGGAAGCAGCCCCAGGTCTGACCTCTGCCTTGGGCAGCTGAGATGCACGACTAACATGACAGAGCCTGGGTCCTCTCTGCCTGATGCCCTGCTGCAGAGGGCACGTCCAGCCTTGTGGGGTCAGTGGGGAGGGCAGGACAGATGTAGACCCTGCAGGGGTCAAGGCCATCTGTGAACAGGGCTGGCTGAGTGCTCAGAGCTGCTTCCTCAAGGGACCAGAAGCAGGCTGGGAGGGTGCGAGAGGAGGAAGGCAGAGGTGCTGCGCTCCGAGGCTGCGGGCAGGGGAAGCTCTGGGGCTGGGGTGGAGGAGCCCCCTCCCTCCAGGGCCTGCCAGGCACCCCCTTCGTCCTGGCACCCAGGAAGCCCCAAGCAGAGTGCAGTCAGGCCCACACCACCTGCAGGCACTGAGCTGCTGCGTGTGCTGGGTGAAGCCTCAAGGCCAGGGGCACCTCTTCCCTTCTGGGAGCGAGTACAGCTCAGGGGCGTACAGTGGGCTGCAGAGGCCGGCTCTCGGCCAGTGGGCAGCAGGTGACCGGACACACACACACACAGTGAGTGGGGTGGGGCTGCAGCAGGATCCCAACCTGGTTGAGCCACCAGATCCTTGCTGCCCAGCTTGGCCGTAACCCAGGGGCCGAGCAACACAGGCATGAGTGGCCATACAATGCCATCTCGTCTGGCTGGCTACGGCATCCGTAGATGGGACCAGTCCACTGTGGGCAGCCAACGAGGTGTGCCTTTGTGTATGGCTCATAGACATCAAGCCCCAAAGGGAAACAACTCCCACCCCTGCTGTGGCCCAGGCTGCCCTGCGTGGCCTTTTCACACCGACCTTCAGTCAGCAGAAGTTGCTCCAGGCCCCGGGAGGGACAGCCCCTCCCCTCCACCCAGCAGAGGTGCCCCCAGCCCAGCTCTGGGAGTGGGGATGGGAGCAGTGTCTGGTCCAGGTACAGCAGGGTCACAGGGGGCCAGGCATGGGGGCACCTCCCCCGCCGCAGCTAGCTGAGACTGGGAACTGGGTTAGATCCGAGGAGTAGCCCAGGATATGCGGGGTGGGGTGTGTAATCCAGTTAACTGCGTGCAGAGAGCAGGCTCTGACAGGCTCGCCGCCTGGGCTGACCCTGCCCTCGCCAAGCAGCGCCAAGCAGCGCCAAGCCACGGGTCCTCTGCTCAACCATGGACCTCCAGCACAGGGGCTGGAAATCCAGCTTTCCTGAGTGCTGGAGGCTGTGGGATGCAGGCTCTCCCTCAACCCCCAGCCCTGCTGTTCGGCACATTTGGGGCTGCCCAGGGAGCAAGGCGGGAGTGGGGGCCAGGTCCCCCCAAGAAGGCCAACCCTGGGCTGACCAGCAGAGGCAAGGACGGGCCCAAGTCCAGCAGGAGAGGAATTAAGTAGAAATCAGAGGGGTTGTCCTCACCAGCAGGCTCCCTCTGCTCTCTGCGACCAAGGGGATGGTGGCTGAGCAGGTGGGCCTACCTGGCCTCCCGGGACAGCAGGGTAGTGTCCGCCCCCGGGCCAGTCAGGATCTCCCTGTTGACCGGTAGCGGTCAGTCTCCGGGCAACCAATGCACGGCTTGGCCAGGTCCTCCTGGGAGGATCCCAGCCCTGGACCCCACAGGTGTGGGGACCCGACTGTGGGGGCGGGGGCGCCTGGAGGCTTGCAGGGGAGCCAGCTAGCTACCCCGTGGGTGTGGGGGCGCCCGAGCATAGCAAGAGTCCCCAGGCAGAGCCTCCCAGGAAAACAGGGGAGGGCCTCAGATCACCAGGGGAAGCCCAACAGGCAGGGTGGGAGTGGCGGGAGGGGCCCTGGCCTGGGGCGGGGTCTCCACACCTAGAAACCCGACCCTGTTAATCTGCTAAGCCAACCGGTTGGATCACCCCAGGGCTGTACCGCATCCGCTGTCTGGGTGGACAGCCTGCGGGCAAGGCAACAGGGGCAGCGGCGGGACCATGCCGGGGATGCAGCTGACCCTCTGGGTGCTGGTGCTGGCCACTTGCGGGGAGCTCGGTGAGGGGCAAGGGGGCGGGCAGAGGGACCTGGCCCCCCGGAGGGAGGAGGGGTCCCTGTGTGTTGGCGCAGGTGGGAGAGGTGGAGGGGGCACTCAGGCAGGTGAGTCGGGAGGGGAAGGCAGGGCACTCACAGGGAGGAGGCCGACACCTGTGCGGTGACCGCTGAACTCAGAAAATGGGAACCCTGAGCCAGACCTGCAGACCCCACAGCCAGCCAGGGAGTACAGTCAGTGAGCCTGGGCAGCCACGTCCACCCAATTCCGAGAGAAGCGAGGCAAGCCAGAGAGGACCCATCGCGGCCACAGAGCGGATGGAGAAGGCTGTGGGAGAGGAAGGGACGGGCTGGGCTGGGCTGGGGGACAATGGCAATGGGCCAGGGAGCCATCACAGTGAATCTGAGACAGTGCCCGCCACTCCTAGGGAGCAGCATCCTACCAAAGTCCACAGAGAGCCCAGTCAGGCTGGGCAGTAGCTTAGCAGAGAATAGCAGGGGGCTTAGGAAGGGCAGGTCCTGGGCTCCCGATTCTCCCCTCCACTTCCACCACTTCTCCTGACAAAGGGTTTGCTGGGTGCAAAGCCGGTCACCAGACTGGGCAGACTTCTGTGGGGAGGCTGGGTCCAGCTGCAGACCAGTGGGGTACAAGAAGGGAGCTGTGGGGTGCAGGCAGTGAGCTATGGGGACAGGCAGGGAGCTGTGGGGACAGGCAGGGAGCTGTGGGGACAGGCAGGGGAAGTGGGGACAGGCAGGGGCAGTGGGGACAGGCAGGGGCAGAGGGGACAGGCAGGGAGCTGTGGGGACAGGCAGGGGCAGAGGGGACAGGCAGGAGCTGTGGGGACAGGCAGGGGCAGAGGGGACAGGCAGGGAGCTGTGGGGACAGGCAGGGGCAGTGGGGACAGGCAGGGGCAGTGGGGACAGGCAGGGGGTGGTGGGGACAGGCAGGGGGCTATGGGGACAGGCAGGGGCAGTGGGGACAGGCAGGGGCAGTGGGGACAGGCAGGGAGCTGTGGGGACAGGCAGGGGCAGTGGGGACAGGCAGGGGCAGTGGGGACAGGCAGGGAGCTGTGGGGACAGGCAGGGGCAGTGGGGACAGGCAGGGGCAGTGGGGACAGGCAGGGAGCTGTGGGGACAGGCAGGGGCAGTGGGGACAGGAAGGGGCAGAGGGGAAAGGCAGGGAGCTGTGGGGACAGGCAGGGGTGGTGGGGACAGGAAGGGGGAGGTGGGGACAGGCAGGGGGTGGTGGGGACAGGCAGGGGCAGTGGGGACAGGCAGGGAGCTGTGGGGACAGGCAGGGGCAGAGGGGAAAGGCAGGGAGCTGTGGGGTGCGGGCAGTGAGCTATGGGGACAGGCAGGGAGCTGTGGGGACAGGCAGGGAGCTGTGGGGACAGGCAGGGGAAGTGGGGACAGGCAGGGGCAGTGGGGACAGGCAGGGGCAGAGGGGACAGGCAGGGAGCTGTGGGGACAGGCAGGGGCAGAGGGGACAGGCAGGAGCTGTGGGGACAGGCAGGGGCAGAGGGGACAGGCAGGGAGCTGTGGGGACAGGCAGGGGCAGTGGGGACAGGCAGGGGCAGTGGGGACAGGCAGGGGGTGGTGGGGACAGGCAGGGGGCTATGGGGACAGGCAGGGGCAGTGGGGACAGGCAGGGGCAGTGGGGACAGGCAGGGAGCTGTGGGGACAGGCAGGGGCAGTGGGGACAGGCAGGGGCAGTGGGGACAGGCAGGGAGCTGTGGGGACAGGCAGGGGCAGTGGGGACAGGCAGGGGCAGTGGGGACAGGCAGGGAGCTGTGGGGACAGGCAGGGGCAGTGGGGACAGGAAGGGGCAGAGGGGAAAGGCAGGGAGCTGTGGGGACAGGCAGGGGTGGTGGGGACAGGAAGGGGCAGTGGGGACAGGCAGGGAGCTGTGGGGACAGGCAGGGGCAGTGGGGACAGGCAGGGGGCGGTGGGGACAGGCAGGGGCAGTGGGGACAGGCAGGGAGCTGTGGGGACAGGCAGGGGCAGAGGGGAAAGGCAGGGAGCTGTGGGGACAGGCAGGGGGAGGTGGGGACAGGCAGGGGTGGTGGGGACAGGCAAGGGGCGGTGGGGACAGGCAGGGAGCTGTGGGGAAAGGCAGGGAGCTGTGGGGACAGGCAGGGGGAGGTGGGGACAGGCAGGGGGAGATGGGGACAGGCAGGGGGAGGTGGGGACAGGCAGGAGGCGGTGGGGACAGGCAAGGGGCGGTGGGGACAGGCAGGGAGCTGTGGGGACAGGCAGGGGGAGGTGGGGACAGGCAGGGGGCGGTGGGGACAGGCAGGGGGTGGTGGGAACAGGCAGGGGAGGTGGGGACAGGCAGGGGGTGGTGGGGACAGGCAGGGGGCTGTGGGGACAGGCAGGAGGAGGTGGGGAAAGGCAGGGGGCAGTGGGGACAGGCAGGGGGTGGTGGGGACAGGCAGGGGGCAGTGGGGACAGGCAGGGGGTGGTGGGGACAGGCAGGAGGAGGTGGGGACAGGCAGGGGGTGGTGGGGACAGGCAGGGGGTGGTGGGGACAGGCAGGGAGCTGTGGGGACAGGCAGGGGGCGGTGGGGACAGGCAGGGGGAGGTAGGGACAGGCAGGGAGCTGTGGGGACAGGCAGGGGGCGGTGGGGACAGGCAGGGGGCAGTGGGGACAGGCAGGGGGCTGTGGGGACAGGCAGGGGGCAGTGGGAACAGGCAGGGGGCGTTGGGGACAGGCCAGGAGCTGTGGCACGGGCAGGGAGCTGTGGGGACAGGCAGGGGAGGTGGGGACAGGCAGGGGGAGGTGGGGACAGGCAAGGGGCGGTGGGGACAGGCAGGGGGTGGTGGGGACAGGCAGGGGGTGGTGGGGACAGGCAGGGGATGGTGGGGACAGGCAGGGAGCTGTGGGGACAGGCAGGGGGCGGTGGGGACAGGCAGGCCTTGGCCATTTCCCCGGCTTCTCCCACGGCTGCAGGGTACTTTCCATTTCCTCACCCACCTGGACTTCTGGGGCCACAGCTCTCTGCACCCCTCACCTAACACAGGGGCCCAGCCGACCTTGGATCCAAAGCAGTCGGCTCGGGACGTCTCCCTGGTCACTGTTGTAGCCAAGGCCTCAGCGCACCCTGCCCCACCCCCGTCCGTGCAGCTGAGGCCCCCGCGCCGCCAACGTCAAAGAGCCCAGACTGAGGTCCCTTTGCCCTCCATGCCCCCACTACAGGAACACCCCCACCTCTGGGACTCGGGGCCCCTCCAAGTCCATCCTGGCCCAGTCCCATGCAGCTCCTGCTGTGTCCTTGGAGTTTGGCTACTGTTCAGCTGGACCCAAACTGGTCTCATGGTCCCCTGGGTCAGGGTCCTCCAAGACAGCGCTAAGCACAGGGACCCATGTGACCACATGAGACCATGCCACTTCTCCCCAAGGGGCAGCCTTGAAATGCTACACCTGCTCTAAACCCACGGACGTGTCCCACTGCATCACCATCAGCACCTGTCATGCCAATGAAACCATGTGTAAGACTACGCTGTACTCCCGGGAGATCGGTGAGTGACTGGCTGGACGCGGGTCCTTCCCCCCGCCCCCACCCCTTTGCACTCGTAAGCTGTGTTTGGGGGTCTCACGCAGGCAGGAGGCCCAGGGGGGGATGTCCCTGTGTCCCTGGCATGCCCACTAGTGGACAGAACGCAGAGGATGCTGAAAGAACCAGGATGGTGGCCCCGGGGTGGGTCCTGGGCTGCAGCCAGGCCTGAGGCGGATCCCTCCCGCCCCCTGCAGTGTACCCCTTCCTGGGGGACTCCACGGTGACCAAGTCCTGTGCCAGCACGTGTGAGCCCTCTGACGTGGATGGCATCGGCCAAACCCGACCCGTGTCCTGCTGCAACACGGAGCTGTGCAACGTGGACGCGGCGGTGGCCTTGGGAGGCCCCCACACCCTGGCTTGGGCCCTGGTGCTTGTTCCCATCCCCCTCCTCGGCCCCCATCCCTAGAAGCCCTACTGACCCCGGTGCCACCCTCGCCAGGCCTCTGTGCAGTCCAACATCATGGGCTTCAAACAAGTGTGCCTACCCGCCTGCAGCCGGCGTCCTGTGCTCCTTCCTCTGCGGTCTTGGCCTGCCTGCCCAGGAGGGCTGGGCCCCCCAGCTGGCTGTCTCCTGTCCCTGGGTTGTCCACTAAGCTCCCTAGGAACTGGGCAAGGGACTTCCACACCCACCCTGGTGAGGCCAGGGGGCTCCGAGGAGGAAGAGGGGGAGGAAGGGGCCATTGGGTCGCTCTTTAGTTGCCATGCTGACCCAGGTTCTGAGATGGCTCAATGGAGCTTCCCACTGGCCCCAGATCTGTGGGGGGCAGGGGTGGAAGGGCCCTGCCAAGGTGGGCAAACACTGGGGGCCCAGGGTACTCTCAGCAGTGCCCTTTGCTTGCCTTGGGCTGCTGCGTGGCCAGTGGCACACACAAACCCATGGGAATACACACTCCCCCGGGGACACACACACACACAAGGACACAAACTCACACGGGGACACGCACACGGCAATGGGGCAGGAGCCGGCCACAGCCTGACCAAGAGAGGCCGCTGCTCCGACTCTAGGCCTGCATCCACAGCCAAGCCTGAATCCACGCAGCCCTGCCTCAAAAGGAATCTCCATTCCTGGATGGGGAGGCAGGGCTCAGGTGGGGGCTGCCTGGAGCGGGAGGGCGATGGCCCCGTGCCACCACTGAGGCAGGCAGGAAGCTGCTGTCCCAGGGCCTGGCAGCACCACGGGCCAGACGTGCACCCTCAGCTGAGAGCAGCCGCAGGGGCTTCTCTCCAGTGTCACACAGGCACGGCCACGAGCTCCCACCGACTGGGCATCGATCCATAAATCCTGGCTGTCGGCCACATGGGTGCCCAGCCCAATCCCAAACCCCTGCTTGACCCCTGTTGCTGCTCCCTGACTCACTGGTGGGAGGCCCTGTGACAGGGAAGGGACAAGGCGGTGGCCCCAAGTTTCGGCTGGAAGAGGAGCCAGGAGCAGACCAGGAAGGGGAGGAACCAAACCAAGCGGTCCCTCGTGTAGGCCTCCACCCAAGCTAGGAAAGGGCGGCCCCGTCCCCCACCAGGGTGGGATGTCTGGGACTCGGAGGCAGAACACAGATAACTTGCACATAAGCTCCACCAGGAGCCAGGAACCCACCCTGTGGCTCTAAGCCAGCACGGCCTGCCCCCTGCACTGGAGGGGAGAGGTCGGGGCACCTTGACAGGGAGGTGGTGCTGTGCAGGCCAGGGCGGTGGTCTCTGCTCGCTCACGCCCTGCGGTTGCCTGTCCCACAGCCATCGTGTTGTCACCTTGGCAGCCCCTCCCACCTAGAGCTGAGGGATTCTGCCCACGACCTGTCCATGCAGACATCCTGTAGTGCCCGAGTCCCACCCTGGAGGAAGCTGGCCAGGGGCCAGGAGCGCCTGTGGGATGGTGCTGAGTGCAGCTGCTCACAGCGCCAGTCAGGGTGGTAAGCCCTATCCCAGAGAACAGGGCCGGAGCTACGGTGAGCTGCCCAACTCCGGAGCGTTCCGGCCTGTGCTGACTGGGCCCTCAAGGTCACAGGGCACCAGGTCCTGGCAGAGGTCAGCCCGAGGGCCAGGACGGAGTCTGGGCTGCAGACAACATTGGTCCTGGGCCACCTCAGCAATGATGCAAGTTCTGTGACTTCAATCACCCACACCCTCCACCTATCCACCCATCACCCACTCATTCATCCGTTGCCCACCCATCCATCCATCCATCCATCCACCCATCTGTCCTCCAGCAAAAGCTGCCCAGAGCCTAACCCAGTGTTAGGATTCTCTGAGGAGTGGACAGTGCTCCTTCCCCAGGCCAAAGCAGGCAGCGCAGCAGGCCAGGCCAGGAGGGACACACCAGGGGTGGGCCTGGGGACCAGGGTGATGATCTGTAGCCAGTCCCTCTGAATGGCAGGTGGAGGGTGTGGCCAGGCCCTCAGGGGTGGTGACAGGCTGGCCATCCCCGGGAAGAGTGGGAGGAATGGTTGGGTGTCCTGGTTCCATCTTGGGTGATGGGTCAGAGTTGTCTCAGGTGACCCAGTCCTACAAGTCCCCAGCTATGTGTTGTTGACTGCAGCAGCAGGAGGAACCTCTGCCAGTTTCTACCAGGCCTCATGCATGGCAACTCCAAGCACCAGGACGCTGGTCCCCCCAAGGGGGTAGTGGGCTGCCCATAGCTGCTCCACTAGTAATGGGCAAGGCAGGCACCTACTGGGGTCGAGAGAACCCATCCAGTCCTGCGCTGTGCAACCGTCCATTTTGGGGAAGCAAGTGGGCCCCCAGGCTGGCACATACCCTCACCAGGGCTCAAATCTGGCCTCTTGGTTCCATAGCCGGGGCCGCTGGGGATTGGCAGACACAGGCTGGAGGACAGCTAACTGGAACCCGCATCTACAGGGACTGGCACTTTGTACCTGCCAGTGGGGTGCCTGGCCTGCCCACAAGAGGCCTGTATGTGTGTGCTCCCTCCTGGCTGTGACCCCTCTCCAACCCCTCCTTGCCACCCTGGCCCTCCAGCTTCTCCTCTTCCAAGCCAGGACGGGTGGTCTCTTAAGTCAGGGCCTGGGTGTGGTCAGATGAGCCCAGCTTGTGCTGCACGCCCACCTGCTCAGACTGGCAGGGACCCCTGACGCCCTGGAGACCTGTCCACGGCCGAACACCGGCTGCAGTTGACAGCCACCTCTGAGCAAGCTGGTACCCGTCACAGATGAGAGGGGGCCAGATCTGGGTCAGGCTCCTGAGGCGGATGGCTAGGCCACGCCTCTCCTTCGGCCAGACACACCCCAGCTTTGTTCTCAGGCACACACCCCTCAGTCACACCACCCTGACTGCTTCTGCCCAGGTGGCCAATCATTAGGGGACCCAGTGTGCAGGGACAAGGGGCTACTCCAAGCCCACACAGGGAGAGCAGCAAGCCGAGACCAGAGCCGTGCCCTCCTAGGTCATGGCCTTGAGTTCCTTCCCCTATTATGCCTCAAGGTTAGACCATGACACCCTGATTCCACCACAGAGTGCACCCCCAAACCTCCACACAGCCAGCCTGCCCAGTTTCTACAGTTATCTGTCCTGTTCATTAGCTTGCCCACCCGCCCTGTCTTATCTCTACTCATTCACTCTCTAAATATCATCCATCCACACGTCCATCCATTCATCTACCTATCCATCCATCAAGCACCCATCACCCATCCATCCACCCACCCACCTGTCCTCCATTCATCTACCTATCCATCCATCAAGCACCCATCACCCATCCATCCACCCACCCACCTGTCCTCCATTCGTCAGGAATCCATTCGTCACTCAGCGATCAAACATGATTCATCCATCCACTATCCACCCTTTCCTCCGACGTCCATCTATGTCCATTTGTCCAACCACACACCTACCCATTAGATCCACCTTGGTGGGCAGAAAAGCTATAGGCTGGAATATTGGGAAGGGTTCTGCAGAAAGGACACCTGCATGGGGCTTACCCACAGGGAGATCTGAGGCACAGCAGGCGAGAGCAGATGTGCCCACTGAGAGGAGTGGGGCAGGCAACGCCAAAGGCATGGGGCAGCGTGCGGCAGGAGGTGGGAGGCAGACAGAAGTCAGACCAGGAGACAAGCAGACAGAGGCTGTCGGGGCTCAGGTGGCTGTCCATCAGGGCTCAGGTGGCTGTCCATCGGGGCTCAGGTGGCTGTCCATCGGGGCTCAGGTGGCTGTCTGTCGGGGCTCAGGTGGTTGTCAGGGCTCAGGCTGTCCGTCGGGGCTCAGGTGGCTGTCCGTCGGGGCTCAGGCCGTCCTTCGGGGCTCAGGTGGCCATTAAGGCTGTTGGTGGGGATGGGCCGTGGATGTTGACAGTCCTGGCTTCCCCACTTGAAGCAGCACTCACCTCCCTGTCCCCGCTCAGTCTCCGGCCTCCAGCCCCTACTCGTGGGTTCCTACATCAAAGGACGAGTACAAGGGGGAACCATGTGCTCGTGTCCGGCCCCTGACTGGCTGAAGGGGGGCCAAGGCCGGGCAGACAGTGGGAGGGAGCACCAGCAGGTACCCTAACACTGGGACCACATGAACAAGTGGCACTCTGGCCATGATGGAGGCTGGCCAGGGGCAAGTGAGAGCCCAGTCTGAACTACCCAGGATGAGTGGGGCATCCGGGAGTTCCCCAGAGCTGGGGTTTCCCCAGTCCTCCCCAGGACAGATGATGGCTCCCATGTCCCCCCTTGGTCCTGCCTGGCCCCCTCATCCCAAGCCCCGCTCTCTGTCCTGCCTGGCCCCCTCATCCCAGCCCCTGTGCCACCTGCTGACTCATGGCTGGCTTGCCACCGCCCAGAAGCCAGGTATAAATCCCAACAGCAGGCAGTGTGTCTCCCAGCGACCAAGTACCTGCCATGGCCACTCCCTGGGCCGTGCGGCTGCTCCTCGCGGTAGCCTGGAGCGTGGACTGTGGTGAGTGGCCTGGGCCTGCCCGGCTCCTAGGGGATGGGCTGCCGGGAGCCATGTGGCTGGGGACCTGCCGGGAGCCGTGTGGCTGAGTCCTGGCACCCAGTGTCTGGGGAGGCAGGCTAAGGGCCGGGTGCAGCTGGGCAGGCTCCCAGCCCACTGCGGCCTCCGCTCTGGCCCCTTGTGCTGCCCCGCCGCTGCTCAGGTGAGGCCTTCCGCTGCTACTCCTGCGAGCGGCCCTCAACCATGTCTTCCTGCAAGAATGTCACCTTGTGCAAGCAGGAGGACACAGCCTGCAAGACCACGCTGGTGGCCGTAGAGTCAGGTGAGGCCGGGCCTCCACGGCTCCCGCAGCCCCCACCCCAGGGATCTAGTGCCACGGGCAGGACATGGAGCGGGTGCAGAGCCCGTGAGGGGCACAGGCTGATGCCGCCCCGCCCCTCCCCCTTTCAGAGTACCCCTTCAACCAGAGCCCCTTGGTGCTGCGCTCCTGCTCGAGCTCCTGCCTGGCCACGGACCCCGACAGCATCGGGGTTTCCCATCCCGTCTTCTGCTGCTTCCGCGATCTCTGTAACTCGGCCGGCGTGGCTGGGCTGGGCACCGGGGCCCTGGCTGT